AGTTTTTTTGGGTGTTAGTATCAATATGTTAGTCTTAAGGTTATCTATAAGGCAGTGTGCTCCAAAACAGTGACAAAATTCGCATTTAGAAGATATAAGCATTTAAAGCTTGCAGTTCGTCACTTCCGCCAAAACGGCTCAACGATTTTTTGGACGTCACATCGTACTTCAGCTTCTCATCAAACTTTCTGTCCAATCAAATGCTCTCTAGAATCCGAAGCGCCCGCCCCCTACACTATAAAATAGACGCTGAAGCCGCGGCTGAAATCGGTCACTTGTCCACAGAATTAGTATTTTCTGTACAGAATGGCACGTAGCGCACTATATAGGGGACTGGGAACGATTCAAACAGTGTAAATAGAGGAAAAAAAATTAACTTAAATGATTTTAGCAAATGGCTGCAAAATAACAAAGAGTGAAAAATTTAAGGGGGTCTGAATACTTTCCGTACCCACTGTATTCTCCATACCTTGACCCCATATATTCCCTTACATCATATATGTTTTGTAAGCCCCTTCCTTTTGCCTTGTTTCTAATAAACTAAGATCAACTTTTGGTTGGGGCATAACCCACATTGCCACTGGAGATAAAGGAATTATTGGAGCATGTCCTACCTCCTCCAGTCTCATATCACTTACTAAATTCCCCACTCTCCAACCAAAACTATTACACTCTTTTTTCTCGTGTTCCCAACTAGGTCTTAACACTTTCTTTGTAGGGTGATTTCCACTCTGACCTCTTAAATTTGCCCAATAGGATACTATTAACTGTTGTCTTCTTATCTGTAATGGCATTTCTCCCATCTCTACTTGAAGAGCTGAAACTGGAGAAGTTAGAAACGCTCCACAACAAATTCTTATGGCTTGAGACTGAATTCTATCCAATTTAACTAAATTAGATTTATTTGCAGATCCATATACTAAACAACCATAATCTATTATAGATCTTATTATGGATATATATATATAGTTTTTAAAGCCAATCTATCTGCTCCCCATTCCTGGCCAGAAATACCCCTCATCACATTAACTACTCGCTTACATCTTCCCACCATCTTTTCTACATGCTCTCTCAACTTCTCGCTTACATCTTCCCACCATCTTTTCTACATGCCCTCTCCAGGGTAATCTACTGTCAAACCATACTCCTAAAAATCTTATTGTATATACACGTTCTAGCTCTTGTTTATATAATTTTAACTTAATATCAACAGTCCTCTTCATATTTGTGAAAAGTATTATTTTTGTCTTTTCCAATGAAAACTTAAAACCATTTTCCCTTGATCACTTTTCTACTTCATTTAATGCACATTGCATCTTCTTTATAGTATACTCTATATATTCTTTCCTTTAAACCAAAAGAGCCCCATCATCAGCAAACAAAGACTTCCCCAGACTTGAATTTACCCTTGAAAAAACATAATTAATCATGATGATAAATAACAGTGGACTAATTACACTGCCCTGGGTTTGCGTAAGTAGTAGACGTATTAGGGAAGTAACACGTAACATTTTAATTATATTTTGCTAAAATGAACGAAATGACTCGAAAAAAGATTCGTTCATTTTGCTGAACGAGACTCAAAGGTCCGAGTCGGTAAAATGATCCGAACTTCCCATCACTACTCTGAACGGCTCTAGCCCAAGCTGTGCTATAAACTAACGCTATTGGCTATTTTAAAAAGGGGCGGGGCTGCTTGATATGTCCCGCCTTGTCTTCCCGTTTCAGTTAAAATGACATCAACACAGAGTAACGCTGCGTGTTTCTAAGCATTTCAGGGAACCTTTAAATATTTATATCTTGATCTGTGTTTGTCTTCATCTGTGCATTCTGTCTGTCTCTTCTTCTCTTTGTAAGATTGAAGACCTGTCACAGCAGGTACACAAGGCAGCGGCAGAGAAATTTAAGGTTCCTCTTGACCCCTCACCTCTCCCATCAGACATCACACCAAGCCTGACCATAAAAGAAGAGAGCGAGGAAGAAGAGGAGGTATAAATCTTTCATTTCCTCCATTAAAAGGATAGTTCACCAAAAAAAAAAGAACATTCTGGCATTTACTCAGCTTCATCTCGTTCCAAACTTTTATGATTTTTTTTTTTCTGTGGAAAAAATAATGTCAGTAAATAACGACAAAATCAATGACACCATTTTGGATGGCCTTTTCCTTTTAATAATATGCTTGCATGAATGAAGCAGCTGAATTAATATGAACCATATTCTCTTTCGCTGTTTGTAAGCTGGATGAGGGCGGGCTGGAGCAGAGAGATATCGAGTTGGTGATGGCACAGGCCAATGTGTCTCGAGCTAAAGCAGTCCGTGCACTGCGCCACAACAAGAATGACATCGTCAATGCCATTATGGTGAGAGATTGCTTTTATATTAGCCATTCAGCATTTGTACATCCAGTGCAGGGCTCGCAAAATTTCAAAATCCCTGGTAGCCCTTCGGGCAGGCACTCTTCAGATTTTGGTAGCCCGAAAATGTAACTAGATAAAAAAAATATTTTATATATAGAAAATCAGATGGGAGTTTAAATGTCAATCAAAAATATTTTCAATACACAAATATCAACAAATATGAAGGAAGGAATTTTATTTCACTATTTACAGGGTATCTGCAGAATTTTTTTAAATAAATTTAAGGCAATTTATGACCCATTTTAAGAGCTGCACAAGTAAAATGAACACAGTACGAGTGGGGTTGAACAATGTCTATGGTAACACACAGTATTGAGCCATAAAATTACATGATTTACAGTTCAGATACAGGTTTTCACAAAAACTAAAATCTTATACAACAGCATTTCAGCCTTTAGACCAGGGGTTTTCAAACTGGGGTCCGTGACGCAAAGCCAGGGGGGTCCGCAAAATAATTTGCTATACCGTATTTTCCGGACTACAACTCGCGTTTTTTTATCTTCTGAAATGTGCTATGATTTATATTCCAAAGTGACTTATATAGGCTAATCGGACCATTTTTATGAAAAGGGATAAATCAAGCATATAAATTATGTCAATTTAAAACATATAAATATTACTGTCTTAATTGTTTAGATTTTTAGAAGGCACATTAACTTCTTTCCCATTTACAACTCTGTTTGCTGCGTAAAATCATGAGTTGATATTTGCATTGATCTGACCATAAACAGCAAGAAAGGCTTATTGGAAATGCAAATTCATTCTCAGCCACGAAATGGCGCTTTAGGAGCGCTGAAATATTGCGGTTTCCCCGGTAACGGCTGTACACAAAGCAGCTCCATGCTCATAAACGCTGCTTTATCAGGAATTATAGGTCAAATGAAATTAAAATGCCAACGACACGTTTCTGAGGACAGTCGATTCCCTTCAGATACATTCAAATAAAGACATCCGCGCCGCGTTTTGACTTGAAATGTGCAGAGCTCATATTTATTCATTGACATCATGCATTTTGAAGTTTAATCCAGCCGTATCGCGACTCTTGTCTTTCCGTCCCCAACTGTAAGACCTCTTGAAATTATAATTAAGACCATTGAACGCATTTAAAAATTTTTATGGCCTTAAGTTTGATACAACTCACTTTATGAGTTTTTAAGGACCTGCGGGAGATCTGCATTTAAGATAGCCCGTCGGCCAGAGTGGTGATACATTTTGGTAGCCTGACTGGAAAACAGAATAGCCCCGGGACCTCGGGCTAGCGATTTTGCAAGCCCTGCAGCAGTGTAATGCTTAATTTTACACTAGATTACCTCTGATTCAAAATCCCATAAAACGGCACTATAATAGATTCCCTCTTATAATAGGACCTCCCATAAGCAAACAAACTAACCCAAACCCTATTTTTGACATTTTTAACTGTGAACACATAATTTAGTCCCTTCATTTCGTTTTTTCGGTATCAGTGATTACTGTTTTTTAAAGTGTTACTATATTTGTGAGAGCATTTTGAGTCATCTGGTCCCTGCAAATGCAACAATAATTCAAAAACATGCGCAAACCTTTTAATTGCTATTGATCTTTTGTTTTTTTTTGTCTATTCTCAGGAGCTGACCATGTAAAAGAGGAAAAGACTTCTTCCCCGCCCCTTGTGTGTTTTCTTCCCCAAGTAATGCTGCTATATTGCACCGCCCAAACTCCTGCTGAAATAAATCTGTTACAACCAGAGCTGTTCGTTTCCCAACATTATCTACGAATCATATAAATGCACCTTACAAACAAAAATGTATCGTTATACATTTTGAACAAACTTTTAATATTGCCTTAATGGCTCAGATGGTAGATCAGAAGATTGTAGAAATAAAAGCTTATATCCTCAAAGCTGATGGTTTGAATCTGACCTGAAGTTGTTTTTTTAGAACTTTCCCCTGGGGTATGTGTGTATTTATCTTATCTTGAATGCTGAAATAGTGCACATGGTTCGAAAATTAGACTTACATTGGTTACAGAAGCATGTTTTTAGCATATTGTAATTGAGCAAATTATATGGATTGTGCACAATTGTGCAACTACAAATCAAAGATAATATTTTTACTCAATTTTGAATGCAAACATGACATCAGGTAGACTATTTGAACAGTCGATTTTAATCCACATCAATATGCAAAAACAAAAAGATGACCAAAGTAATAATGATGAATTATCAGTCTATGATATAAAGGGATGAACATTAACAAAACTTTTTTTCTGCAACATCTCATACATTTAAATGTCCTGTGGAGTCACACACTTCTTTTCACATTCAGCATGAAAACTGCATCCCAAAGAAATCTCCACATTAGATTTTAGTGCAGTGGAGGTACGTGATTATATCTGTGTTTGCTTCATTCATGAAAAATCATTTCTAATACTGTTATGCTGACATCACCCATGCACACACAGGTACACAATGACCTTACCACTATGAGACTTTAGTTTTATGGAAAAGTTAACTATATAACCAGCATTAGCTTCAACATTTTAGTTTAATGTAAGCCTCTTTATATTCACGTTAATAAAAGCCTGAAAATGTAAAGATAGAAGCTCTTTATTCAAGTAAGATCTGTGTATTAAAGCCAACCATCACTGCGTTTGGTCCTCCAGGTAAAAGTCTCTGCAATTTCAGCTGTTCCCCATCCTCTTTCAGTTCCCCTCCCTACCTTCATTGTCCAGATACATTTGGATCAGCTTTTAGGGGGCAGGACATTGGCCTGGAAGTGGCCCTGATTGGTAATGTTGCCGGCAGGGAAATAACGTGCCACTACGAAGGTAGAACCATCTGAGGCCACAGCTTTACCCACACCAAGTTCCTTTGAGCTTTTCCACACCATTGCAGTGAAGTGACCTAGAACAAAACAATGATTCTTACATTAATTGGTGTGTATTGTAGTGAGGAATAGGATGTCCGTGTGGCTGTCACAAAATATTTATGCATGTTTGCCTCACATAAACCATGTGGTGCTTGTGTTAGTGCGAAGTTAAATATTTATATGCTGAGAGACAGAGTGGAAACATTTGAGTGGCATAAGGGACTCAAGTACATTTTATGCATTTGGCAGATGCTTATCCAAAGCTTACAGGAATATGCTTATGTGTTACACCATATGCTTACAGGAACACCCATTCCTAAATTCCCAACCACATATTTACAGATTTAGAGTCAGTATAGACATTATCCACAATCTATATAGTCACTTCAGTAGATTGTGATTCCTTCAAATGTGTTCTGCCCTCTTGAGGTGGTGGGTAGTATTACTCATTTCCTGCAGGCTGAAGCTGATAACAGGCGAGGTGAATAAAAGCTGAGGGGGCGAGTTAACAGCTGCAAGTCAGACATCACACTGTAAGAGACTTCTCATAGCTGAATTTCATGAGGAATTTCCTGTGCCTGGGAGGGCTTTGGAAAGCTTCATTCCAATAGGATGAGTCACGTTTTACAAATAAAAAAAAAATATTGAAGAATATTGTATTACACTGTCTGGGCCAAACTTATCTGCTGTATGGGTTTGTATTATATTTGGTTATAAAACAGGGGTTATGAATATAAAAAAGGGTGCTCAATCCCGTTAATGTTAATCAACATGCCTGCAAAGTTTAGTTCAATGCAAAATTATTTCGGATGACACAAGAGGACACAATGTCACTCACTAGTGCTTCTGTTTTAAGTAAATATTAAACTGATGAGGTTAATAAAAAGTGTTAACATTCTTTCTCTGCTAAAAAAAACTTCTTAAACCAGGTATTCTGGTCTTAGTCATTTGACTGATTTTAGAGGGGTTTTGGGCAGTGTTTAGTTGGTCAGGCTGTATGGAATGGGAGTGAATGAAGTACAAAGTCTAGCATTAATGCACAGAAAGACCTTAAGATGCTGGTTCAGATGTGTTTGATAAGAGCTGGAAGTAAACTTTGCAGGTAAGTAGATCTCAAGGAGCGCCACTGCTGTAAATACTCTTACCAGTTGCAGAGGAGAATCCTGGCTGGTTGAAGTTGTACTGGTTCACTTCATTATACCAGCGATCAGACACATCTTTACCTGTTGGCACATGCGCACAAACATACACAGATTCTCATGTGAAATGGACAGGCCCCAAAAATTCAGTTATTATGAAGTTCAAGTTCAAATAATCCTAAATTCCTTATTTTGTAGAATGTTTGTTTGAACATTTTTGAAATCTGGTTTAATTACAATATTATAGTAAATCCAGCTGGAGATTCCATGGTACAACTTAAAGCTTTATATGACCCACTATACATTTAGTGACATTTTACAAATCACCCCAGACTGGCCAGACATTCCAATCTACTTAGTAATCAGCTTTAGACTGAATATGGAAGTAGTCAATTCATAATGATTCCCAGCTGTTGCAAAGAGGAGAGGACGGCAGTCTGCACTCACATCCATGTAAATATATTTCAGATAGTCATTTTGAAACAGAAGAAGAGGATTCATACCTGATTGATCATAAGATGCCCATGCTAAATTTTCTCCACAGTTTCCTCTACTAGACTCAGCACTATGCTTCAGAATCCTGGTGCTAGCAAGGCTCTCAGCATATCTACAAGACACATGAGTTCAGCTTAATCGAAGAGCATTAAACTGTAGTAAAGATGCAGAACAAGCATATGAAAGAAATGATCTCACCGTGCTGCTTCACGGCTCAGTTTACTGCTGAGTTTTAAAGGTGGGGCTTGATGTTTTCTCCTGTACTCATTATGAGTCTTCATTACCTCCTCACAAAAAAGCCTGGAGGCTGCAAAGTCAACAGGGAATCAATAGCAAGAGATTAGAAAGCTCTGCAATTTTTTTTACTCTTTGCTAAACTCAACAAACATACAGCATAAAATACGTATCACTTAAGGCTAGTACTAGCTTGAGAACAGAGATGTACAAACCAGGGCCCTTGATGTCCTTTCATTTGGCCCGCCAAAAAATAGGAAAAAACAAGCCATTGAAGCATATCTTAATTTCAAGCCATTTTTGTTTTGTTTTGCTTCGAAATGTAGAGAATGTAATTGAATTTGATTATTTTTAATGTACATTTTAACAGTGTAGTTGGTTGTACAGTAATGCAACATTTACACAGCCCTCAATCACGTTTGGTCCTTTGTGTTAGAATAAAATGTTGAAAGGGTTTCAGTATTTTTTTGATAACAACATTTCAAAATGTATTTCTGCTAAAAATGTAAAATAAATAATAATAATTAAATTTAACTGTTTTAAACAATCGTTTATATATAATATATTTTATTACTTTTGGAAAATAATATATATTTATAAAGAAGACTGGTCTAGACTGGACAAATGTTGCCAAACAGTTGTGCTTGCCACGCTTGCTGAGGCATAAATCCAACTACATGATGCTATCACTCAAACAAAGCAAGGATTGAGTAGCTAGCAATCCCCAGCAGACACATACAGCGTGATAAAGCTGGCATATACTCAACCTGTGCTGACAAAACTTCATTCAACAGCAGAGGATGGTAGTGACAGCGACTGACGAAAACATATATTTGACAACATCACAAATGCTAAAGCAAGACAGGGATTTGGAAGTGAATTGTGCACTTACCTGACTTCCCCATGGTAAGAAGACTACTCTAAGCGAAGCAGTTCCCTCACTGTCACAGTCCCTGGCAGCTGTTACAATGCTTCACTCTTCTCTCTTGTGTTTTTCCAGTTTAGCCAAGTAGCATCTAGCTTTTCATCCTCTGGTAGCCACACACTGAAACATCTTACAAGCAAGCTTCAGTTGAGTCCATTTTAGCATTCCCTACAAATGTATGCTATATTCTTTCTCTTTCCTCTTCACCACACCTTCTTCCCTTTCTTTCTCACACTTTGTACAGGGCAAAGGAGATTCTCCAGTCAGGACTGTGATGATGACACCATCTGTATGAGCCACGTGGCCTTATATGGTGTTGGCATTGCTGCTTTCAGCTGGAAGAATTGAGCTGAAACCACACACTTGAGTTAAACTAAATACAAACCGACAGAATGAATGTGCCGTACAAGCGTATAAATTATACATAACAAAATTATACATCATTTTCTCTAATGACAATCACTTTCTATTGAGAGTGTGCCACTGACCTCGATGCAGTTGCTCAAGGCATTTCTGTTGTAATCATTATTATCTCTATTTAAAGAAACATGAAAATAAAAAAGGGGTTTGGACATTGTGCCAAAATAATGTGAGTGTGGATGTATGAATCTTGCTTACCTACCAGATAAACACTAGAAAGCCTGCTACTGTGGTATAGTCATATTCACTGGATTAGCAACAGACCAACTAGACATCAAATAACATCACTGATCAATGTTAATTCAGATCAGATTCAAAACGGTTTAAGTGATCAGATTCAAACAGGTAAAGATATATTTTTAGTGCAATTAGACATTAGTTTTAAGTATATTAGACTAAAATATGACATAAAAAAACAATAAACATTCAAAAAATATATTTAAAAGAAAAACAATTACAGTTAAAAATCAAAGTAAAAATGACAGGTTTTAGTGAAAATGTGACAAAGCAATATAACCAGCTAGCCAACATAGACCTCTGGTGGAGAGAATTAAAAGTACTTTTTTTTTTTATAGTTTGTACAAAATATCTCAGTAGCTCATGGTAGAGGTTGTAAATACAATGTGAACGTACATGTAAAACAGAAAAGTGAATTATACTTTAAAAAGCTTATTAAAGCATTATCTTGGCATCTGCATGAATGCTAAAATGTGATACATTCTTCACTTAATTATGATGATCAGTGCAAAGACGCATTAATAATTAATCAAACAAGCCAAAAACAGTAGGCTGCAACTAGATAATTGTTGCATAAGTTTGCATCATCAGCCTCAGAATGTTATTGCCAAGTTTACAATAGATATGAAATTTTAAAAAGTATAAATGTCTTAAAAGTTTAAAATATGGCACTGAAAAATGTTAAATGTAAGGTTTTGTATTTTTATTACGACATCTGTGCACGTAACCTATTTACTGAAGGCAAGTGGTAAAAACTAGCATGAATATGCAATTCCTTGTGAATGTAATATCTACATGGTCTGTGGTTTCAATCTAGCCTATTTTGGCCTTGAAATCAGCTATATGCTCAGGCTTGTGTAAACTCAGTGGAGTCTCAGGGGGTCTCAGAAGATAAGGTTTAGTCACATTTCACACACATTCACTCTTTTTAACAGCCTGTCCTGGTCTACATGCAACACCCACCCTGGCTCCATGTGGAAAGCTACACACACATGATCCCACACATAATATTCATCTCTGTAATGAAGACTCAAAGCTGTTCACCTCAAATTTAAGATTATATGTTTCAAAATGGGATTGACAGTGCCACCATATGGCCCCATCAGAGTACCCACAAACACCATCACCATGTTTTAGAAGCTGAGGACAATGGTCATAAATTGCCACGTAACAAGGGTACACTACAACCATATATTGAATTTGTTTGTTGTCTCTCTACTGGAGTTCTTCTCACTGCATTAAAATGATAAGCAGCTTCCACCCAGGATGTTCTCGCCTTCTGGTTTAAAGTAATCAACCACGAACCTATAAAACTATAAAACTGTAAACCGTTGATCAAGATTAATCATGATGACCAGTCCTTACTTAAGCCTAGCATATTGTACTGTCCTTCACAATCTTGTGAAGTTGTCATTGTCAAATACTTCCATGGTGCAGAGTACAGTACAAAGCCAATTAATTGCAAAAGCATGTAACAAGAAGTGCTAAGTGTAATAGTGTGTAGTGTAATAATGTATATAAAGTAGTAGGCTACATGTAGAAAGTTGTATGTAGATGTAGAAGTATATGTAGAAAGTAGACCAGTCACTGCAAATAAGCAGAAATGATTTGCAAAATGTTATGTACAGTGCAAACTGAAAAAGGTGCATGAAGTACAGCAGCAGAAGAGTGTAAAGTAACCGTTACCAAGTGCAACTGGAATGATGTGATAGTTTTTTGTTTTGTTTTGTTTTGACATATTGTTTTTTGAGATGTGTTCAGCAGGCTGACAGCTGAAGGGAAAAAGCTTTTCCTGAGTATGCTGATTCAGCAGTGGAGACTACGCCAGAGCGCGTCCACACCTCACGCATCGGATGCTGTTAAAAATCATAATTTGTGTTCTACTGAAGAAACAAAGTCACCTACATCCTGGATGCCCTGTGGGTAAGCAGATAAACATCAAATTTTCATTTTTGGGTGAACTATCCCTTTAATGGAAGGAAGTTGGTCTCCAGGGATGTGTTGGCTGGTTTTCATCACCCGGCCATTAGAGGGCTTTCTGATCACAGACAGTGCAGTTGCCATACCACACTGCGTGATGCAGTTTGCTAGATGCTTTCAAAGGTGCAATGGTAAGTTTGTCAGGATCTTAACAGACAGGTAAGCTTTCCTTAATCGTTCCTTAATTTGCATAGCTCTGACTATGGTTCTGACGCAAAAAAGGAGATCCAGTCAGAGTCGATGCAGATGAATTAAAATGTATTTATAATTTCTTCCACTAACCAAAGAAAGCAGAAATGATAATAAATGACATTAACTGAAACTGAAAAATTTTCTTTTAATATCCGAAATCAATCAGACCTCTTACAATATTTCTAAGTATTTCTAAGTATATCTCTGAGTATTTCCGAGTAAAACAATTCTACATTAGTAAAATAAATCAAATAAACATTGAATAGAAAATTCATATACTCTTACACTGCAGCAAGATCAGATAAGCAGATACTGGGCCCCCTAAGGGACACAATGATTTAGAATCCAGTGCATGTAAACTGCAACTTATACAAACATTGTGGTTTTCACACCTTTAGACCCTAGAAGGAGCTAGACAATCTATATTTACTATGTCTCGAGAACATCTTGTCCCTTGGGTTTCAGAGAAAAGTAACAGCTCCTTTTTTAGACATAGGAGAAGATTACATTTACTGAGACGACAGGAACCCAGATGCCTACCATGCAACTGTTAACACAAAGGGGCCCTCAGATCAAAAGTTAAACAGTGTAAGTTGAAGTAAGCATCCTTAAATGTTCAACACACACAGATTAATACTAAAATCATAGAATACATGGATAATATGTTAGATATATGAAAATATTAAAGTAATAATAAAATAATCACAAAGATTAATTCATAATGCATAAAATTCATGCGGCATAATATTCATAAAGCATAATATTCATAAGGCATGATTTCTATATGGATATAAAAACATAATAATTGAGAATTTGCAGATTCGATCACATCAATAGATATCGTACAAAAGGAATACATTGAAATATAAATCAAAAGAAATAAAATCACAACATAAAGTAAATTCTTATTATAGAGAATAATGAAGAATAATGGTAAATCATGAATATATGTATGGTTGTATCCTTTTTTTAACAACACACCAGGTTCTTTTTTAAGGTCTATTCTATTGGGTAAAACCACAGGTGACGACATTTTCAAAAGGCCTATTTGAACTCATTTTATATGTTAATTTCTTGAATCAAAAATGTACACACCAACATGAACTTCACTCTAGCCACCATTAATGTAAAACAGGTCAGAGGCCAGAATCTTTTTTTTCCAGCATCAGTGCTTTATTAATGCAGCGTGGACAAATATATTCTCAGAAGAGTAAAGGAAACAGGTAAAAAAAACTAATATTTCCCCCACATACCGTTCATACTTATACATACGTGATCACAAAAACTTTCCGCTTTTACTACCTAAAAGTACCAGCTGCAGTAATGGATTCTCTGGCATATTTACTCTAGCCTGATGGGGCCAAACTCACACTTCACAAACTCTTCTGTGTTAATTTTTAGCTGAGCTCCCTCACAGAGTCTGAGACTCTTAGTCAGAATTTCCCTGCTGAAGTGGAAGATTTCTCCATGTGGAACATGGAATGCCACTCCGATGTTATCCCACATGTACTCTTGTCTGGCTTTTTTAGGTATACGAATAGCTTTCATGTTACGAGACAGCCAGAAACGGTGTGTTTTACTCATTGCATTGTGGACGCCAGATAATGGTGTTTTCACTAAACGCACACACTGCATCCTGGGTATTCTTGAGCAGGGGATACTTAGAGAAAAGCTTATGAGCATGAGGTACATGAATCACAATAGAATACATCACTTCCTGCTTATAGACCACAGTCTCAAAAATGCGAATGCTGGGCTTCTGGCCTGGACAGAACTGCTGTTGGTAGCTTCTCAACAACTCATTGATCGACATACTGAAACGGAAGTTCCCCATGCGTGAGGATGACAGAAAGGCTGGGGAAGTGGTGAACTTGTGCAAGAAAGGTTTTACAATGTAGCCATCCAAGTACTCGTTTTCAGCCATTGTAATATCACCTCTGGAAATGTCTGGGCTCCACCATACCAGATCGCGATTTGGTGAGTCGCTGCGTGTCCTCCTCAGGGTGTTCTGGGATTGATCTATAGAGGTAGTCATTCTCTATTTGCTTCCGTTTGAGCTCTTCAAGCTTCAGGTATTGCCCATCATAGTATAGCTCTCTATGTCTTCTGTCATTGGTACGAAACATGCTTTCAAGTTGAGAAAAGCTGATGAAATCACTTCTGAAACAGGAGTGTGATGACTTGTTGCACTGAAAGAATACAAATGTTGTATATTTTGTCATGTTAGCATTAGGTAATATTTTCAACAAATATACTCAAAGCAACTCTTTTATGTCAACCATGAAAAAAAAGTTTTTTGTTTTTTTTTACAACACAGATCTGAATTATGACAATCAAGCACGTTCTCCAGAAATATTTTTCGGCCTCATTTTATGTCTATAAAGTAGCCTTTATTTTTTATCACCTCTAGAAATGGCCGAGATTGGCGTGTCTTCATTTACATGCTGTCAAAACTGCAGTCCGGTGTTGTGTAATATTCGGTTCCTGTGAAAAACTGTTCCAGGCTCCAGCGGGTGGAGTTTACGTGAATAGTCATTAGTTCCCATGTTGTGGGCGTGTCCTTGAAACAACGCGCAAACGAATGGAACTGAAAATATTAGTGCACGCTCCTCAAATCGCTACTTGTTTAATGGATTATTTTGAACAGGTAACGAAGTGTCAATGTTACACATTAATTAGCATTAACTGCAACAGAGTCAAAACAATGCAGTTTGTGTAATATGATAAATCGTCTGTAAGCTGTTTTTGCTTGATTGATTACAGGCACACAGCAAAACAATAAGCGAATAACCTATGCTAACCTTGGGTAATATAGTTTCTTATTTTTTGATGTGTTTAGCTTTTTGTACATTTCATTTGTGGGGCATTAATTGTTGTTTGAATAGTTTGATTAGCCTATACGTAGGCTACTGGTGACTATTATGTTCACAACAATGCTTGAAACAAATATATCTGTCGCCTAATAAATATAGCTATAAGCTATCCTGTGTCATTTATAGAAATCTTGTTTAGTTTGTATATAGCCAGTGTTTCTGTTACCTAAATAAGCTACTTACATACTGAGAACAAATTTTCTTGCAGTTAAAATGTTAATATTGTAATCATTATAATTTGTAATTGATTATATAATACAGTGCATAAACCTTAAATGATTGTTCTGATGCAGTCTTCTTGGACATAGGTCAGCAGCTACTCCAAGAATATTATTTAAAAATTTGGATAAGAAATCATATGTCTCATCATCACCAATGTTATAATATGGCTTTGATTTGCTTTTGTGATGTTTCCACATATATTGATCATCATGTAAAGTCACTGTCTGTTTCAGACTGGATGAGAGAGCTGAAGTCACTGGTACAGTAGTTGATCATTGTGTGAACTGGACATACATGGAGGCTGTTCTCATCGAGTGCCAATAAATATCTCAGACACTCACTTAATTTTGCATTGCTTCATTCCACATGTATACTTATACACAACTTTCCTTGTCTTTTCAATTTGAGTTATATTCATAAAGCAATTACTTCTGTACTTGTCATAGTAACATTTAATGAATGTAACTAATATTTATGTGATCAATATAATTTGAGTATAATTTTAAACAGTAAAAATAAAACACTTACTAAAAAGATAACATGTTATTTGTTAACCTGCATGTCATGTTACTATTAACCCACATCAGAGAAATGTGAACATTAAAGTGTTGTTAAATTATTGAAACATTACCTTTAATTAATCTCAGAGGATTTTAATCTTGGGAGGAGACAGGAGAACAGAGTTTGGCTGACAACAACATTTGGGTTTCATTGTATGTAATAGTTGTAAAATGTGAAAAACAATTTTGAATAAGGTGTTCAAATGTTATAAATTATTAACACACTGGATCATGAAATTTTGGATGTTTTCACACACCATTCTTAAACATATGACATGATGAGGTTGTTTTTCAGTGCAACGTATGGTCAAAGAACAGAAACAATGTATGCTTATATATGATATTATAATATTTATTATTAGTAGCTCTTTCTCAGATTCTCTAAACCGTTAAGCTCTGTATTTGACTTAACTAAATACAATAAAGAAAAATGTGATATGCTATGCTAATATGACATACTTTGTAAGTCAATTTTAAAGAGACAGTTCATTTAAATATAAAAATTAACTCACTCTCATGTTGTTTCAATGTTGTGTGACTCCTTCTTCTGTAGAAGGTACTTTAAAGAATGTCAGTGTTTTTTATTTATTTATTTTTTGCTCATACTGGTTTCAAATGGGTATATGATAACAGAATTGTCATGTTTGGGTGGATTTCTACCTTCAATATATTATAATGTATTAGTACTTGGATATTGGTGATTCCCAAACAGGCTTATGTGGAAAGATTTTGATGTCTTTTTTTTTTACTTAAAAAAAATAATAACAATAGTAGTAGTAGTAATAGGAGAAAATGTGACAGAAGTGCATATAGTGACCTTAATTATAATTTTACCTGATATTCATAATAATAATAAAAAAAAGACACATGATGGGGCTGTGGAGGCTGGTAAAAACTGGTTATTTAAAAAAAAAAAAAAAGATTAAAGAAAGAATGACACAGGATGCTCACACCAATTTTATTAGGCCCAAGATAAATTTGTAGTGGTTTGTTTCAGGCATAGTTGTATGCAAACTGTACTAGTCTCCAAAGACAACTAGGTAGGCTAATCAAATCAAACTATTAAAAATAAAGCCCCACAAATTAAATATATAAAAAGCTAAACACACCAAAGAGTAAAAACTATATTAGGTAAGATAGGTTATTATCTTATTGATTGTTTTGTTGTGTGCCTGTAATCAATCAAGCAAAACGTTACAGACAATTTATCATATTGCACAAACTATGCATTGTTTTGGCACTTTTGCAGTTAATGCTAATTAATGTGTAACACTGACACTTCGTTACCTATTCAAAATAATCCATTAAACAAGTGGCGATTTGAGGAGCGTGCACTAATATTTTCAGTTCCATTCTTTTGCGCGTTGTTTCAAGGACACGCCCACGACATGGGAACTAATGACTATTCACGTAAACTCCACCCGCTGGAGCCTGGAACAGTTGTTCACAGGAACCGAATATTACACAACACCGGTCACTAACTTGATAGCCTACTAATCTTCATTGGACCTCTGTGGTTTTTGCAAGTCACTCGAGCACCCACAAGAAAGCTGTTTAATTAATAAAACCAAATTATTTGCCTCAATGAATGTGCCGTTTAATGATTGAAAGTAACTGATCTCCAAGGACAGTCGTTCAGTTTTTTTATAGTGTGTTTTGTTTGCCGGTGCTGAGATGCGCGCGCACTTGAGATTGCTCTGGGGTTTTCGAGTAGTGTTGGGTCGTTCTTGAACGAATCTTTAATGTGACTCGGGAAGAACGAGTCGTCTCGGGGAGTGATTCGTTCAGTCGCGCATGCGCAACATCCTATAGGTTCTGTACTGGAATTAGTCCAGTAGTCCAGTGTTTCCCAACCTTTTTTTAGTCGCGGCACCCTTTGGAAATTTTAACAAACTTGTGGCACCCTACAAAATAAATAGTCACAATATTTGAATTTCTAACTTCAATATGATCATTTGAAAAGTATCGATATTCGGTACAGCAGGGATGAACTGCAGAATATAATGTCATACAGATATTTTTAATATTATTTAAAAAATGTGTCCATCAATGGTGGCAATCAGTAGGCTAATTTCTAATGAAGAGACCAATTTATATGACAGATTTTAATGTAGGCTTTTATAATGTTTACATATGTATAAAAGCCTACATTAAAATCTGTCATATAAATTGGTCTCTTCATTAGAAATTAGCCTACTGATTGCCACCATTGATGGACACATTTTTTAAATAATATTAAAAATATCTGTATGACATTATATTCTGCAGTTCTTCCCTGTTGTACCGAATATATCTGACAAGTCTTCGGGTGTGAGTCGTTCGTTCATCACGTGACAGCCCCATAAGTTTAACCAATGCAGTGTGAGCCGGAAAGAGAATTGATTAGTTCATCTCTTGAAGACTTGTCAGATAAGAGGTGAGGTGAGCTAATCATAGACTGAAGACCCAGGTAAACAATGAATTAATCTTTTCTGTTTCTTATAGCATTATAATTTTGTATTGTTTGTAGTGTGATCAACGTTTGCGTAAGTAGTAGACGTGTTAGGGAAGTAACACGTAACATTTTAATTAGATTTTGCTAAAATGAACGAAATGACTAGAAAAAAGATTAGTTCATTTTGCTGAACGAGACACAAAGGTCAGAGTCGGTAAAATGATCCGAACTTCCCATCACTAGCATCCTGGTAGTGCGCTAAATTAAAGGTGTCTGAACCTGAGGGATAATCCCTGATTATGGAGGACCAAACCTGCAGAAATTAAAAAGAAATAAATAAGCAAATATATATTTAAATTGAATTTATTGTTAAAATTTTTGATAAAAGTTTATAAATATAATATTTTTTGACACAGAAGATGACATACATTTAATAAAGTTAGAAGAGTCAAATATCGCCTCATAATGGGAAGGTTAACTTCTGTCATTGATCAGAAGAAGGTGTTTCTAAAAAAATGTTTTAGGTAGGAGCACTAGAGCTCCTAAAAAGAAATGTTAGTGTAGAATCCTGAAGAATGTAATTTTACCTTTTAAAAACTAATTGCAAATGTTTATACAAAGAGTAAACTATTATATATAATCTACAAATCATGCAATACTGTACCACAAAATAAGAAGTGTTTTGTGGACTCAGATAATCAGGCCAATTAGAGACAATTACTAATCATTCTCATTTTTATCAAATAATTCTTTCATTTCACTAATCAATATTTTTTTTTAATTATTATTTAACACTAGGGGTCATTAATAAAGTTTACATTTTAACATGTGCAAATTCACATGCACTGTATCTTTAATTTGGCCAGAATTGCAGGGCGCCCGTCTTGATATCCAAGAAGGTTTAGAGAAAATATTAAATAAGTTTAATTATTAAATTAATAATTAAACTTAATTATTATATAAAATTTTCCAAGCTAGTGTCCCCTCAGTGAATTTTGGCCATTTCCACCATGCACTGCCTGTTTGTCTTCTTTAAACAAGATTAAATGTAGTTGAGAATTATGAGGGTCTTGACCCTTCAAACAAAACAGACACAAAAACCAATACTGGTTGTAAACAAAGAAATTACTAGTGCCTTACTATTAGTGACCTTTTGGCATGCTATCAAACATGATAGTTTGATAGTGTAAGCAACAGAAACTCAACAGACACACATATCCCTTCAGAGGCACACAGACTGTCAGTACCTTTCATATGATTTTAAAGACAGCACAAGAAGAGATGAGGCTCCATAGCTCAGTGGTTAGAGCACTGGTCTTGTAAATCAGAGGTTGTGAGTTTGAGCTTCACTGGGGCCTGATTAATAACTAAAGGATGTTTTTGAACCACTATCAAAAGTGTTTACAGACATAAATGATTATCAATAGAAGATAATCGCTCAAATAGATCTGATAATTGTTCAACACTACAAAAAACACCAAGGTCTTCAGACTATATGCAGAACTTCACACTCTGTGTGAGTGCAAGCAAGTGTTACAACTTTCAGACCTGATATTTCAAGCACTTTACAGAATATGCAGTATATATACAGTACACACACACACATATATATATATTCATAATTTGGAAATGTGAAATTCACCATAATAGGACAAAACTGTTTTGGATCAATTTTGTTTTAATTTAGTTTCATTGCTCTGATTTACATCTGCGTCTGTGTGTAGTTTTCTCTTATTAGGAAACATGTAGGTGAAATCTAATATAAGGTAAAGGCACATTATTACTTAAAACTTTCACTTCTTATCCATTTAGTTGAAAAAAGTATATTAAAAAACCATAAGCATATAGGAAAAAAAATTAAAACACATATGGAAAAAGCCACATCTGTTTTAATTTTTTTCTATAATCTATATAGCACAATTACAATGAAGTTATGCAGATAGAAGGATGTCATTTGCAACCGATGAATCACCTGTTTATCATTCCTCCTAAACTTTAAACAATCAAAGCTACAGGGAAATGTTAGACACACCCTTTGAAGTGCTACACAGGGTTTTTCATATGCACTTTTCATATGGTAATGAGGACAATGTGTGAACAGGTGAGGCTCCATAGCTCACTGGTCTTGTAAACCAGGGGTCATGAGTTCGATCCTCGCTAGGGCCTGGAAAACACTTAGAAGACACTTTTGAGTAGTTATCAAAAAGAGTTTACAGGTATACATGACTAGTGGTACAATAGAAGAGAACTAAGCAGGTCTGATATGAAGTGTTCAACTGTGAGTAAACAAAAAAACTGAAAGCTAAGAAACATCACAAATGTTCAACCATCCTGAAAGAGGTCAAATGTAGCAAAACAGATGCAAGATTGGTTGCAACCAAGCAAATAAATTACTAATTATTTTCCAAACTGGTCAAACTTTGTAAAAGATGTAAAACCAAATATTAAGCAGCACAACTGTTTTCAACGTTGATAATAATAGGAAATGTTTCTTGAGCACCAGCATATTAGAATGAATACATTTTTTGACCTGGTAATCGTTAATCAAAATGTCATAACTTGCTCCTCTTGTGATACGACTGACTTGATGTCTGTGATGTATGAAGGACTGTCCTGCATAGGTGCTCACATGACTAGTGCTCACTTCTGGTATGCCAGACACACCCCTTACAGATGCACAAAGATTGTCAGTACCATTCATATGATAATACAGACAGAACAAGAGCAGGTGAGGCTCCATAGCTCAGTGGTTAGAGCACTGGTCTTGTAAACCAGGGGTCGTGAGTTCAATCGTCGCTGGGGCCTATAAATAACTTTTGAACAAGTATCAAAAATAATTGGTAGCCATACATTACTTCCAGGAGAACCATGTATACAGAACTGACAAGAGGAACACTTACGAGTGTGATAGAAATGTCAAATTTTTATAATATGTAATTGATATTCAATATTGTCTCATATTATGCATCTCAGATTTTCTATATGTTCTGTGTATATGTGACAGCCTGCAGGTACTGAACGTTAACAGCATACGCTGCCAAATATTCTCTATCAGCTTTCCATTTGTCTATCAGTGTCCCTAGACTAATGGGTACAAGCAGGATTGGCTAGCAGCTGATCTCAAAGAGATACTGTTCAATGTCAAACTTTGTTAGTATAAAGGAGGGGTGTGAGGACCTCTCTGTGTCTCTTTGCAGACAGAGCATTCTCTGTTTTTAAACTGATAATTTCTGTAGAAATTAAAGAAAAGACAAAGACAAAAATCTTTGACTGGTCTTTCATTCTCAGTTTCACATTTATTAATTGATTTAGAATTTTTCCATGGCATGAGCCATCATGTTTCTGACTTGTGTGCTCTGAAGAACTTCTAAAAACTATTATGCATAATCAAATTTACTCAGGAAGGCCACTGTAAAAACCAAGAACTGATTTAACTGATTAAAAATGTTCAATATCAAAACATTTATACATCAAATCCTGAACTGTCTTGGCATAGAAAGTACAAAAATCCTGCACAAATCATATATTTTTAAAAATATATTTTTATACAAAAACAATACAAAAGTCTGCAGAAGAAATCTGAAGGCTGCCATGGCATAAAAAAGAACAGCATAAAGACAACAGAGAGCAGACAGAATAAGCAGAGGAACTAGATGAGAAATCGTTTGTCAACCAGAGTTTTGCTGGCTAGGTTCCTACGACCCATTCCATTTCGGATTAACCTGAAGACCTGAAGGAGAGCACATTAAAACTTCATCTTAATCATCACCTCTAGACTGTTGAATTAAACCAGTCCATTAACAAATTCACGTATACTAACCAGTTGCTGGAGGTATGTTAACACAGCTGCGAGAATGAAGTTCTGACTGCCCAGATCCACCACACAGAAAAAGAGGGTGTCAAAGATCAACAGCACAGCCTCATTACCATAAAAGAGGACATCAGCGAATGAGTGAGAATCATCTGTGAGAAGATAAACACAAAAATCAGTATCACTCAAAACACTAATGAGTTGGAATTATATTTGGATATGATTAGCAAAGGTTTTTTTTTTTTTACCATTATAGAAGATGCTTTTATCCAGTGGCTCTATAAACTCCATACCGATGATTCTCTCAAATAGCAGCTTATCTTTCACTATGTAATCCATCTCACGATGTGCCTGAGAAAACAGCATTCAGAGTGAGCAAAACAACACCTACAAAACAAAAACTATGGGGAAAATCACAAGCATCAATGAAATGCAATCCTCACATGATCAATGACAGAGCCCAGGAACCGGTTCATAGTATGGTAAGCGTTTGTGCTCTGCTCACATGGATTGGCTGAAGCATCCACCAACCTTGAGGGACCACTTCTCTGAAGGGGTAGAGACATTATTAGCCACCTTTACGGAGAGTGATTTGTTTGGGAGATTATTTAGCTACACTTTGCGTACAAAAGTAGCTGTGTCTCATTTCGAAGGCTGTGCCCTCCGGAGGTCGCATTCGAAGGCTGCATACGTCATCGAGGCTGTCCCATTTCAAAATAGCAAGTAGGACACTCCGAATGCGACCCTCTTTTACAGGAATTTGGAGGATGCATGAGGTGTATCCTTCGTTGCTACAGGTAACCCACAATTCTTTGCGTCGCCGTAAACATCCGTCGTTTCTTTGAAAACGCTGGCAGATGTAACTAAAGACTATAGAACACCCTTAAAGGGACTTTGATGCAACGTTACAAGTGAAGATGTAAATGTAAAAATGTAAGTATAAGTAAGTTTTTATTTTTTAAGTAGTATTACCTCAGTTGGTAGACGTGGTAAACAGGATTACAAGCGTTTAGTGATTTTTAAATGTTGAGAACAGTACTTAACTAGCAAGGTGAGAAATTGTTAATTTGTTTAACCCTCAGGTATTGTACATTTAGGGGTCGCTTTCATATTGTTCACTGTAGAAACCTTTACGGAGACAATAATCTTATAATAATTTTAAAATAAAGAAATAAAAACATTTCTACATTTAGTTTTATGAAATTAATGTTCAATATTTTAATCTTCATTTAACTAGCGTGAGAGCGCACCGACGCTATATATGTGTTGGCTTAGCAACATGATACTTCCTGTTTCCTTTTCTGCCCGTCCTACGGCCCTCCGGAGGTCGCATTCGAAGGCTGCATACGTCATTGAGGCGGTCTCATTTCAGAAAAGCAGGTAGGACACTCCGAGAATGCGACCTTCTTTCACAGGAATTTGGAGGATGCATGAGGTGTATCCTTCGTTGCTACAGGTAACCCACAATTCTTTGCGTCGCCGTAAACATCCGTCGTTTCTTTGAAAACGCTGGCAGATGTAACTAAAGACTATAGAACACCCTTAAAGGGACTTTGATGCAACGTTACAAGTGATGTAAATGTAAAAATGTAAGTATAAGTAAGTTTTTCTTTTTTAAGTAGTATTACCTCAGTTGGTAGACGTGGTAAACAGGATTACAAGCGTTTAGTGATTTTTAAATGTTGAGAACAGTACTTAACTAGCAAGGTGAGAAATTGTTAATTTGTTTAACCCTCAGGTATTGTACATTTAGGGGTCGCTTTCATATTGTTCACTGTAGAAACCTTTACGGAGACAATAATCTTATAATAATTTTAAAATAAAGAAATAAAAACATTTCTACATTTAGTTTTATGAAATTAATGTTCAATATTTTAATCTTCATTTAACTAGCGTGAGAGCGCACCGACGCTATATATGTGTTGGCTTAGCAACATGATACTTCCTGTTTCCTTTTCTGCCCGTCCTACGAAGGCCGTCTCATTTAATTCGGGGTTGAGGACACTCCGTATACGCATCCTACAGAGGATGTGACCTCCAGAGGATGCAGCCTTCGAAATGAGACACAGCTATAGTCTTCAGAAGTGAGCTAAATCTGCCAAAACCAGGGATCACTGGATGTCTTCAAAGATAAAAATGATTCATAAATAAAGTAAATTGTGATTTTCTAAAAAGTTACACGTTTTCTTGTAAGTAATAATATATTTTTTTATATGAAATAATCTTTATCATTGACTTTGTTAAAAAACAATAAAGGCATATGCCTTTACGTAGATAAATAAATAGAAGTGTTTATGTTTGTGTTTATACCCAGTTGATTGGCTCGATTATCCGGTCATACTGTGCTCGCAGGCGGTTGGTTATTGAAATCTGAAATGTCTGAGTGTCTGAGTTTGGCAAAAGTCCCCTTTGGCCACACAGATTCTCCTAAAACACATAAAAATAAAATAAGTCTTCCATATAAACTTCTATTATTAAATGTACGACTCAAAATGTATCCTACCGCCTCCCTCTTCAGGTTTGTATTCATCTCATCCATGTTAGTGTCTGCATGACCATGAACAGAACGTCCATGAATGTAGTAGCCAAAACATCGATGAGACAGCAGCAGCACTGAGATCTAACAGACACATACACATACATTCAAAGGAAGAAAAGAAAGACAAAAATCAAGCAACATTAAAGCATTACATATGTTACAGTCTAAAATTGTACACTTATTGGCTATGAATTATAGTTTAATTGCTCAACTGCAAAGAAGCTTTCTAGCCTAATACTTACATTGCTGATTGAGCACAGATCCACAAACTGGCGAATCTTGTCTTCAACAAAGCGTTCATGGATTACTTTGAAGAATGTAATCTAAAGCAAAACGACACAAAAAGGAACAAGTGAAACACCACAAGTGACACAAAGAGACAGGCTGCTTGTCTTTAAGTATACATGTTCTCACCTGTATTAAGCCAATGCAGAGCCACATTGCAGAAGCCACGCCGTAGCGGAGTATGAGGCTGTATGGAGGTGTGTATGCCTCAGGAGACAGATGCAGGTCAGATGAGGGGTCTCTTAGAGCCAAATTTGAGAAGCCCACCACCTGCAAGCACAACATTCAACATTTGTTAAGACAGTCCTTAACAAAATGGCAAGCTCTTTGAAAGGCCAGTTTGGGAAATAGGTTTTGAGACAAACTAGATGTTTTAGAACAGAGCTGTAGTGTGTTGTTGCCCTCACCTCCAGAAAGAAGAGCACAGCGATGACCTGAAAAGTGGGGTTGATCTTGCGAATGGTCTGAATCTCATTCCACTCATTGGCCACAAAATATGTTCTCCAGATACTGACAGGAGATGCTTGACTTTTTGCTTCACCAGACCCTGAGCACATTACAACATAATTATAGAATATGTATTATTAAAAAAATATAAAACTAATTGGATTAAAAATGTAGAGTCTGTATAGATATAATGGAACATGCATTTGAGAAACATTGTAATTACCCTCCACATGTTTACTGGCTTTACTACGAGGTCTTTCCCAGTCTATGAAGAAAATATCCACAGACAGCTGAACAAAGAGCTTATGAAGAAATTGTACAGTCTGTAACAAAAAATTAAATTAAGTTAACCTGGGAGGAAATGGAAAGAGGGGAAAAGACAGACATATACTTAATTAAGCAACCTGTAGTGTATAAGCTAATGTTCATATTTGTACTCACCTTCAAAGCAAAGGCACAGCCAACATAAACAACAAAGCGCTCCTCCTGAGCTGGTAATGGCAGCAACACGGACACAAATAGCTGGGCCTGGAGATACACAAAAAGCCTTGTTTTTATAGGTCTTGATTTCTATTTTAAGTCGTGTTCACACTGGCAAACCAATAAAATTCATGCTTTTGTTCACATGACCAGAGCCAATGCTATTAAAACTATGACTTAGTAGCGCACACAAACAGAGTACTTAGCAAAGCGAAAATTGTGAATATAATAATCTGAATGGCTGTTTGATAAGTAAATACTGTTTGATTTCCTTTCTTATCTGTGACAAGTGGGTATCAGAAACGCAAAGTTGCACAGTACTTGTCTTGGTGTGAACAGGCATTTAGACCTAAAGAGCTCCATCAAAAAATAAAGAGTAGGCTACGTATAGACTGCACATCCTAGCAAAAAATTTAATTTAACAGGACAGTGGAAGAAAATCACAGAAACACAGATAATAAACTGATATCTGAGAAGTGGGTGAGACTACGTTAACAATAGAAAAAGTTAAACACTTGCCTCCACTGTCTGGAAAATATTGAAAGGAATTGAAGAGCAAAAGAAAGAAAAAAAGGAGGAAAAAAGACTCATGTAAGGCTTAATCATATTCATAATAGACTAGCCATTGCTACTTACAGACATGACGAATGCAAACCTTAAAGAATATGAGCCAGTAGAGGCCTGTTCCAACAGTGATGATGAAGAAAACATTTGCCAGGTCACCAGCATAGAACACCAGAAACTTCATAATGGTCTGAAACAGAAAGGACATTATTATGCATCTGTGTTGTTAATTGTGTTTATAATCATCTCTGAATGTGAGTCTTTACCTGCAGGTCAATGAGAGGAGATGCGATTCTTCTTTTCCAGCTTGCTGTCTTCAATAAAGAGTGGACAACAGCCACCCCACCCAGCACACCAAGAGCAATCTGGATATGAATCCACATATGAATAAGCTGACAAACATAAAACAGAAAACTGGCTTGCGTTGTTTATACTCACATCAGTTTTGACCCGAGCTTCTTCCTGGTCCATCGTATATTCAAGAGAGAATGACACCTGTACATATGTACATAAAACAGAAATCAACCCATTTGGCTGATCATATAAGCACTTTAAAATGTGTAAAATATTTATCATTTATTATTTTTACACTGTATCATTAATCTTACTGGCAACAGAATAAAATAACTTTTGATTAATTTCATTAACATATAAAAACATGCTGAAGACTTACTGTAACAGTCTGTGTGGTGGGGTCAGTGACAAGTATATCCGAGTAAGTCACAGTCATCAGAGGGGGGTACACCTGTCCCTTCTGTGTATTTGTCACCAGCTGAAACCTGTTCAGTGCAGGACATCAAGCTTAGTGTGACCTCACACTACGTGAGTTTTATGTGTTTGTGAGTGTGTAGTACTTACCCGATCTTAATGTTAGAGGCCACACGTATGACCTTGGGTGAAGAACTCAAAGACTTTTCCCTTCCACTCAATGTGTCCACAAGCATCAGCCTCCGGGTCAGGTACCAGTTATTCATGCTAGATCCTGACACGAGAAATCAGCATGGTGATAAAGCAGCAAGGCCTTCATCACATATAATGATGATATGAAAGTGTATGATCAAAAGATGTGTTTGTATGTTGTACCCTGATTAGTGAACTGGCCATTAAACTGCTGGTTGATATTTAGGAGAGGCACTGCAAGAAGACGCTTGTCCTCCTGTGGCTTCTGAATGACCAGGAACACGTCATAGAACACAGGCTCCGGATACCCATTCAGAAGCTCTGACACAGACAGCACACACTAAGAAAATAAAAAAAAACATTAACATCAACATATTCAGCTAAAAATAAAAACATGTATATTGACCAAACTGAGAAACATATTGCTAAATATGGACCACATATGAACAACAACAGAAGAAAGGTGAGACTTACACTCTGCTTGTAGGCTGTCCCAAACATGAAAGCGGACTGTTGTCTGGTAGGGGTGTCTGGACAGAGCTATAGAGGATTTAATTAAGCATATTTGTCTCTCTCACAATACTTTTCAATTTCAAAAGAAGTTAATAGAATTTCTAAAGACACATTCTAAGAAATTAGCAAAAATGTTCCCAAGTGTAATAAAAAAAATTAAAAAAAAGAAATCTTCAGAAATTATTAAATATTTTCTTAGGAACGTCACTGTATGATGGGTTATGCCAAAGACTTGCAAATAAACTCGATGAAAAACACCTCAAATAAACATGGGTGCACACTATTTGTATCTCAACTGGCTTGACGAGAGTTCAGCACTCTGCATCACGTTTTTAATGTGCTGTGTATTTTAAATATTTTAAAAAACACAAAATATTCTGTGAGATTCTATACCCCCTTGTGACCATCTGTGTCATGTTGCATGCATCAGCATTATCATTACATCACTCAGTACCAGACAATCACAAGACATGATTTATATTGCTGTTTTTTCCTAGACTGTCTCAGTCTATTCCCTGCTTGTGCTGAGCTAACAGATTCACTTCCTCTGTAACTTATATATAACGAAGCCCCTCACAATAAAGATTTGAACCTTGAGTGAACTACACTTCTTGTGTCTGTGTCATTCTTGGCTCCCTGATATCAGCTTCTGTGCTCCACCGCTCAACTTGATCAGATCTGCTCAGATAATTTAATGGATAATTTAACAGTTGGGGGCTCGTCCACAAAGGGGGGGACTCTCCCTGTGAACCAGGGGAAAAGCTCAGAGAGCAAGGAGGCAAGCCGCACCGGAGATCAAGGGAGGACCTACAATAAAAGGGGTAAGTGTTTTTGGATATTTCTGAAATGAAATACAGTGCTTACCCCTGTAAGATCCTGTTAGTATCTCGTAAAGAGACGAGCTCGGTTTAATCACTAGTTGTTAGTGGGGCTTTGGCTCCATTGTTGTTACACTTCGGCTGGCAACAGTAGTTGGATAGACTATTATCGTGGAGAGTGATTGGTTAATCACTAGTCGTTAGTGGGATTTCGGTTTCATTGTTGTTACACTTCGGCTGGCAACAGTAATTATTTGATAATTATTAACGTGGAAAGTTTTATGAATTATGAGTTTTATGGATTTATGAAATTAAATGATTGTTACTGCATGTTGATACATTGTGACCATAAAAGAAGGTGTTCTAGAGGACGACCCAAACACGGTTTGGCGAGAGTCCAAAATTAGACAACACCCAATAAAAGAAGGTGATTTTAGAGGCGATCAGGACAAAATGTCTTGTGAAAGCCAAATATAGGACCATCACCCACGGTCACAATACGACACATGCACTACAATTGAGGTTGGGCGTTCGAGTACAGAAGAATTTTGTGCACATTAATTATATAAAAAAAAAAAAGTGGAAAATGGGGGATTCGGGGCCCAGATAGGAAACAAGTTGCTGCTTATGTAGCTAAACAAAATTGCCCCACAAAAGGAAAACCGCCCTCTGCACCGCCCTCGGTGAAACCGCCGTCTGTAAAGTTTAAAAATACACATACTAGTCCATACGCCGAGGCGTACGGTCAGTTATCTGGCAACACAACTGAACCGTCAAATTTGACTCAAAATGCAATGGTATGGGTAAGAGCTGGAAATAACATCAATGTTAGACCATTAAAAATGTCGGACATGGAATCAATATGCAAAAGTTTACCTTCCCCTCAACACCCTGGTAAATTTGTAACTATTCTGCAAACACATACAAAATATGCTCACTTTTCTGGTGCAGATTACAGGGCAGTTCTGTTAAGAATATTGGAGGGGGATGTAACCAAAGCAATGTTAACCACTGAGTGTCCGACGCGGAGTCATGATAATGATAAAATAACAGGCTCAGGCACGGCTGCAAATCGCCATGAACATTTTTGGAGAAGCCTGAAAATCATGACACTTTCTTCCAAGAACTAAGAACCTTTTTAGATAAACGTCTAGGTATTAGACAAGATCTATCATTCGCTGCGAATACAAAACAGAAACTTAAAGAATCTGCTTCAGACTTCTATGTGCGCTTCAAAAAGGCATGGATTGAAGAGTCCAAACTCCCATTGAATAATGAAATGAAGGCTTTGTTTATAAATACCTTCTTGAATAACATGCAAGCTAAACAAGCACAATTGATCAGAATTACAACCACAAATTTGTATGATAGGGACATAGACGCAATAGGGAAGCGAGTTAGGGAACTAGATTCATCTGATGGTTTCATAGTGAAGACTGAGAATGCTATGTTTACAGGGCAGAGACATCAGCGAAAGTTGCATGAGCAAGAAGCAGAAGTGAAACCATATTTGGACCAACAAGGAAGATCAGAAATAGTGTGCTATCACTGCGGAAAAATGTCTCAGGTTACGTATGTAACCATGGTTCCCTGAGTAGGGAACGAGACACTGCGTCCTCTAGGGGTCGCTATGGGGGACGCCTCGACGTGACCCGTGTCTGAAGCATTCATTAAAAAAACACCAACAACATGTTGGCCGGCGTTAGCCTAGGACATCACTACCGGTACGACTATAGTATAAATAGGCGTCACAAGAAGGGTTTCTCACGAAAACTCCACTCATACCTCCCGCTCGACATCTCAGCGAGAGGGGATATCCTGATTCACAGGAAGCCCCTCGGGGCGAACCTGGATATAGCGTCCCAGTTAGGGCAGCCTGAAAAGCATAAGCCCGGCCCGGACGTCCAGGAGAATTGCGGCCTGTGATCTGGCCACATGATCCAGGAAGCATGAAGCCGGAAAAAGGGCTATCATACAGTCTGGATCCAGCATCGACGAGTGAGGTCATCACTGCAAAAGTCGAGAACCCGGTTCTGAGTCCAGCAGAGGGGTTGCTCACTGAGGACCTACCCTAGAAAAGGACAGAAACACACAGAAACACTGTGGCTAGCAGACGGATTCACACAACCACCAGCGCATTTTATATATTCAAAATGGATCGTACTCACCCATCATGGTTCCCGCGCAGGAGCCTCGTTCAAGAAGAAGATACCGTTCTAAGGGGCCCTCGTGGCACTCTGAAGTAGATGTCCATAGATGGAAATGGTGCATCCCAAGAAGAATACGTCTGAGAAGTCACCAACTCATCCTCATGGTATAATGCTGAATGGCTAGCAGTAAGTTACCTAGCTGAGGGAGCATAACACCCAGCTCTCAGCCGTGAGGGGGCTTGACCTACAGCATGTTCGTTAGAAATCCTGAAGGGTAAGCGTACTGCAAGCTTAGCCAAAAACTCAGCGCATCAGGGAGGCAGAGGAAGGGCCTAGTTCGCCTGATGTTGCCAGTTCCAGGTGCTCTGGGAAAACAGAGAACGCAACTCTCCACGTGAGAGGAGAACTCAAAATTCAGAAAAGGAGTAGCGTGCTCATAGGCAACCCTCTGATAGAGGGGTGCACTGCTAAACACCACCACGAGAACAGCCCACGGAGCGGGGAATTCAACTCCTCAGAAGGGGAGAAAACTCAAACACTCGTAAGAAAGCACCATGCTCATAAATAACCCTCTACAGTGAGGGGAGCGATGCTTTAAAAGTGTATCAACAGAGACACACTAGTTGAGTGGAGCCCAAGGCGAGTACCGGGGCCTAAGCCAACTCAGAGAAAGGGAACGAGGCTGACAACGCGTAACCCTTCCCATACAGGATTTTAGAAAAGTGGGCAAAGCATAACGTGCACACTTACCACTTATGTGGATTTTAGAAAAGTGGGCAA